TCTCCCCTTCCCCCCTCCTCCCCTCCCTCCTACCCTTCCCCCCTCCCCCCCTTGTTGCGGTTTTGTGGCGTCGGGCGGACCGGCCAGCCAGCCAGCGCACTCGGGGACCTCTCGTGACACTCCTCCTGCTGCCATGGCCTCTCCTTGCCTGCTGTCATGATTCAGCAGGGAGGATGGCATCGCTCTGGTGCTTTTGCTTATTAGTGTTGTCTTTTAATTAGATTTTGGCGCGGCTGATTATCTGTTTGTTTGTACGGATGCTTGCGCGACGGTTAGGTGTGAGGGATGTGGGGAGGTGTTGAGGCCTTTTATTTATGTTTATGTTTGCTTTATTATTGTGATTTTTTGGTGTTTTTGTCCTTTTTTTATGCCTTATTTTTTTTTGTGTGTGTGTGTGTGTTCAGGGTTTTGCGCTCTTTATCACAAGGTTATCTCGCTAGGCTTCTCCCTACCCCCGGCCCCCTCCTCTCTCCTCTCTCCCTTCCTTCTCGTCCTTCTCGTCCTTCCCCGTGTCTTCCCTCCCCTTCCCTCTCTCTCCCTCCACTCTTGCCCTCTACCTCCTCCCTGTCTCCTTTCCTCTGTCACTTCCTATCCTCTTCTCCTCCCCCCCCTCTTCTCGTTTCTCCTTGTCTCCTTTTCTCCTCTCGCCTCCCCCCCTCTTCTCGTTTCTCCTCGTCTCTTTTTCTCCTCTCTCCCTCCACTCTTACCCACTACTCCCAATCCTCCCCTCCGTTGTACTCTGCTCCTCCATTAGCAATTCATTCCCTTCATTCCCTTGTCTCCACTCCTCTCATCCACGCTTCACTCCTTCTATCCACTCTACACTCCTTTCCTCTTCTCCCCTCTCTTTTCCTCCCTCCCTTACTCCTTTTCTCCCCTTCCCTGCCTTCCCCTCCTCTCCCCTCCCCTCCCCTCCCCTCCCCTCCCCTCCCCTCCCCTCCCCTCCAATCCCCTGCTTTCCCCTCCCCTCCCCTGCCTTTCCCTCTCCTCCAATCCCCACCCCTCCCCTCCCCTCCACTCCGAGGAAGGGAGACTTGGCGGCGGTCGTCGGCGAGGGGGAGACGACCACTAACGACCATGTGTCGGGGTTGTGTTCCTCTTTCGGGGCCCGGATTCCGACGTGTCGCTGAGGGAGGGGGTGGAGGAGAGGGAGGGAAGGAGGGGGTGAAGGAGAGGGAGGGAAGGAGGGAGGGAGGGAGAGGGAGGGAGGGAGAGAGGGGGTGGAGGAGAGGGAGGGAGATAGAGGGAGGGAACGAGGGAGAGAGGAAGAAAGGGAGAGGGAGGGAGGGAGAGGGAAGGGAGGGGGAGAAAGGGTTACCTCTTTTCGCCCTTCTACGCCTTCTTCTGTGTGAGTGTGTGTGCGTGTGCGTGTGCGTGTGCGTATGTGTATTTGTGCTTGTGTGTGTAGATTGTTTTTCGCTGTGTGTGCATTGTGTAAATGTTTGTGTTTGTTTGGATTTGTAGATGCGTGTTTTTGTGTGAATAAAAGATAGATAGCAAGAAAGATGCAGAAAGAGAGAGATCGTGGGTACTAACTCTTACCATTCTGTCTGTGCCTCATTTTCGTTTTCATTTTCTCTCTTTTTACACATACCCTCTACGTAACACCAACAGAAAACGGGATCCATTGTTATCCCCCCCCCCCTCCGTTGTTTGCACCTAGCCTTTTCATTTGGTATGGAAGGCATCACCCCTCTCGCCGTTGCTTGTCTGTCAACAGCATGCAACGATCTGCAATGTGCCCGCGCGTTTGGCCATCACGTTTTTTTTTTTTTATCCTTTGAGCCAACAACTTCTTTTATGCTTTGCTGTTTGTTTTCTAGTTTATTGCATTTTTCTTTGTTTGGGTTGCTTCGTCAATGCGTGTGTGTGCGTGGGGAAAAGCGGGGAGGGGTGATATCTGTGTGTGTCTGTGTGTATGCATACCTCTGTATGTGTGTGTGTGTGTGTGTGTGTGTGTGTGTGTGTGTGTGTGTGTGTGGGTGGGTGAGTGTGTTTGTGTATGTCTTTGTATTTATTTGTGTGTATCTGTATTTGCCTTTATATCTGCTTGTTTCTCTGAGTATCTGTATCTTTCTGTCTCTGTATCAGCAAGTTACTACGTTTTCTTATTCCTTCTTTTTCCTTTTTTTTTATACATGTTTGGTTTTGCAGGTTTGTAAAGGACGCGTAGGGTGTGGGCGTGATTGCTCAGTTTCATGTCTACATAGGCAGGCTGTTCAAAGGCGCAAACATACGTGTGTGTGTGTGTGTGTGTGACTGAGTGAGTGTGCGTGTGAGTGTGCGTGTGAGGGTGAGTGTGAGTGTGAGTGTGAGTGTGAGTGTGAGGGTGAGTGTGAGTGTGAGGGTAAGAGTAAGAGTGAGAGAGAGAGAGAGAGAGAGAGAGAGAGAGAGAGAGAGAGAGAGAGAGAGAGAGAGAGAGAGAGAGAGAGAGAGAGAGAGAGAGAGAGAGAGAAACTGCACCGTAATCGTCAGGTTCATCACAAACGCACGTATTTCTAAGATTATAAAACGGACTTAACCCGTTATTTAGAGGCAAGTGACTCGAAAGGAACTCGCCCCTTTATGTCTTCTTTTCAATGAACTCATGACTATGTTTGTTCTGCCATGCTGCGTGTGTCACGGCGAGCCAACAAGCCTCCGATGCATGTTGGTTTACTTCAGTTTTTTTTTTTTTTTTGCTTAGTGTCTGATGTCTTGTTTTATTGTTCTTCCTTTCTTTCTTGTCTACGTCGCTATCTTCATGTTTTCTCGGTCTTCTTTTTTTTGTTGATTAATTTCTCTTTCGTTTTGTTCTGGTTTCCATTTTTTTTTTATTATTTTTCTTTACCTTCATTCCGTTTCCTTTTTTTTTCTTTACTTTCGTTTTCTTTTCTCTTTCGCGTTCTCCTGTCTGTTCATTCCCTTCTTTCTCTTTATTTCATTTTTTTTATGCTTGTCTCCTCTTTTTTAATCTGTTCTCTTCTGTTATTTACATCTTCCCCATCCCCTCCCTCTTCCTCACTCTTCTTTTGTTTTTTCCTTGCCTCTCTTCCTCCATTCCTCTCTTCCGCGCCCTCGTCTCCTCCTCCTCCTCCCTTTCCTAATTGTACTCCTCCTCCTCTTCCTCTTCTTCTCCCACTTCTTCCTCGTCTTATTCCTCCTCTTTCCTTTTCATGACATCTTTCTTTGCACTTCCAAAATCACCGCTTCTTCCTCTACCCCTTATGCCCCCATCATGACCCCCCCACACCTCGACCCCCCCCCCCACCTCGACCCCTATTCCCCCCCCCCTCCCCCCCTAAAAGATCAAAGCTCAGGTCCCTCTCGAAAAATCCTTCCGGCAAATTTGTTTTTCCGCACCAACTTTTTTTTTTTCTTCTTCTTCTTCTTCTTCATACGAATCATATCATAATATTTTACACATTTTTTTTCTTTCTCTCTCTGTCTCTCTCTCTCTCTCGCTCTCGCTCTCGCTCTCGCTCTCGCTCTCCCCTTTTAGTTTTAAAATCATACCTTTATTCCTCTCCTCCTTTCATTCCTCTTCTTGTTCTCATGTTCCTGTCTTTTCCATTTTTCTCCTTCTCTCTTTTTTTCAACATTCCTGTTTTGAAAGCTTTTGTGGGCTTTTTGTTTGTTTGTTTCTTTATCTTTTATATTTCCGTATTCTCGTTTAAAGGGATTGCCATAAAAAAAACAGAAATAATGTTATTGAACCATTTTAAAAGTTAGGTAAAGAAAGCGTTTTTTTGTTGTTGTTTTTCTTTCTTTTTTTTTCTTTTTTTTTTTTGTATGACCTCCTGGCGGCCTTTCCGTAGCAGGCGTCCAAGACATGTACGCAACGTCAGCGAAGTGTCACCGCGAGCGATGAGGTGCTGGTGTCAGTCAAGACGGGGCGGGAGAGCGAGAGAGAGAGAGAGAGAGAGAGAGAGAGAGAGAGAGAGAGAGAGAGAGAGAGAGAGAGAGAGAGAGAGAGAGAGAGAGAGAGAGAGAGAGAGACACGCACAGACAAGAACACAGAGAGAGAGAGACAGTCAGAGAGAGAGAGAGAGAGAGAGAGAGAGAGAGAGAGAGAGAGAGAGAGAGAGAGAGAGAGAGAGAGAGTCAGAGAGAGAAAGAGACAGAGAGAGAGACAGAGACAGAGAGAGAGAGAGAGACAGTCAGAGAGAGAGAGACAGTCAGAGAGGGAGAGACAGTCAGAGAGAGAGAGAGAGAGAGAGAGAGAGAGAGAGAGAGAGAAGGGGGGGGGGGGTCGTTGTCAGTTCAGATAGGACAGCAAGAAAGAAAGTAAAAAAGAGACACAGAAAGAGAAGGTCATTTTGAGAAAGGAGGGGGAGGTATAACACGAAAAGGAGACAGATAGAGAAAGAAAGATAATATTTTCCTCCAAGAACGGAGAGCTAGTAAAGAGAACAAAAAAAGTAGAAAATTCGAGTTAAGGAGCAGCAAGAGAGAGAAAAAGAAAGAAAGAAAGAGACAGAGAACGAAAGGGAATGAAGCTCGTTGTCAGCAGCTGTCCATCAGGAAATGAGAAGAAATCCTTTTAAAAACCGTTAGTCTGTCTCTTAGATATATTTGTTTTCCTGTGAGAAGAAAACAAAAACTTTTTTCTTTTTCTTTTTTTTTTTTTTTTTTTTTTTTTTTACAAAACGTTGAAACGGAAAGCGAAACACGTGCGAGTGATAGACAGTTATATTGGCTACGGAAAGAGAGAACTCCAAATAAAGATGGGAAATAGATTCGAACGATGAAAAGGGGTGCAAGACGAGATAACGCGAGAGGGAAGGGCAGCAGTGCGTAAAGCCCGAATTCAGTGTTATCGGGAAACGGGCTGGCAAAATTGGACTGTAAATTGCTCGAAAATCGGCAACAACAACAACAACAACAACAAAAGCAACAGAGAAGACATGGGAAATCTGGAAATATTTTGCGGAATATTGTTCGTGGCGGAGGATTTTTTTTCTTTTAGTATAGACTAGTTTTTCTTCTATCTCGTTATATTTTATGATGGTATTTTGCAGAGGTGAAACGAACATGGCTTTTGAAAGTCGCCAATGATTGGTTTACTGAACGATTTGACTGAATAATCTGCTGTGTAATCAGGCAAAAAAACACAAAGAAATAGAAACAAAATCCGTTATAGAATAAGGCTAAAGACAAGAATTTAAAAGGAATCTAAAAGCAGTGATTAAAATTCCGTCGAAAGAAGTGACTACGAGAAGTGACGATGCCCGGGTCGCAGGGCCTTCCTCTCGACTAGGTCCGTGCGCTCGAGGCCGCGGCGCGAGCATGCAGGAGGGCGTGCAGCCGGACATGCTGTTCCCCGTGGACGCCGACCAGGCCCACTACCTCACCGTCATGACCAACCGCTGGCGCTGGCGAACCCCCAGCCCCGGCTACGACTCCAGCGACCACGCCCCCAGCCCCGCGCCTAGCTCCGCCCCCAGCCCTCTCAAGCCCTCCTCCAGCAGGAGCTCGACCGCCTCCCCCTCCGCTGGCGTCGGCCCCGCCCACTCGAGGAATCGCCCCGCCTCCCGGGACGCCGTGGCCACGCCCGACCTCGACGGCGTGGCGCTGACCCGGTGCGGCCTGGTGGTGGGCGAGGGCGAGGGCGTGCCCCTGGGCGACGGGCAGATCCCCTCGCCCACGTGGGCGGGAATCGAGGCCGGCGACAGCGACGCGAAGGCCGGCGCAGACGAAGCCTCCGGAGGCAGCGAGGCGGCGCCGGAGCTGGCCCTCAGGGCGACGAGAAGAGACGACGATGAAGACGACGACGGTGGCGACGCGGGCGGGGTTGCCGCGGACGTGGTGGTGTCGCTCGACTCCTCACGGGCGGCGTCGCTCACCCGCACGTGCAAGTGGGCGGGATACAAGAAGGTAAAGCACGCCCACCTGTGGAGTGGCAGCATGCGCGTTTTCGCTCGATCCTTGTTCCTCCTCTTTATCAGATTCTCTCTCCTGCCCCTTTCAGATTCAGCTGGCTGCGCTAACAAGTGTGCCGGAGTTTATGTAA